TCTTTACACTGAGGTGCAACCCATACTGAAGGCTGTAGTCTTTCATCTTCATCAGTAAGAATTTCAAGTTCTCTTCACTTCCAGCAAGCAAGATTGTGTTATCTGCATATCATTGGTTGTTAGTGAATCTTCCTCCAATCCTGATTCCACATTCTTCATACAGTTCCACTTCTCAGATTATTTGCTTAGCATACAGATTGAATAAGTATAGTGAAAGTATACTACTCGGATGCACACCTTCTCTGATTTTAAACCACTCAGTATCATTTTGTTAAGTTCAAACTACTGCCTTTTGATCTATGTACATAATCCTCCTGAACACAATTAACTGTTCTGGAATACCCATTCTTCGCAATGTTATCCATAGTTATGATCTACATAGTTGAATGTCTTTGCACAATCAATAAAGCACAAATAAACATCTTTCTGGTATTCTTGCTTTCAGATAAGATCCATCTGAGATCAGCAATGATATCCCTCATTTCATGCCCTCTTCTGAATCTGGCGTGAATTTCTTGCAGGTTCCTGTCCATGCACTGGACATTTGTGCAACTGTTTTTGAATGATCTTCAATAAAATATTACTCTCATGTGATACTCATGTAATACTAGTGACGTTATTAGATGATTCCTCCATTACATTGGGTCACCTTTCTATGGAACTAACACAAATATGGTTCTTTTCCAATTGGTTGGCCAGGTTAACGGTCTTCCAAATTTCTTAGCATAGATGAGTGAGCACCTCCAGTTGCATCACTTTATTGGAATATTTCAATTTGTATTCCATCAATTCCTGGAGCCTTGGTTTTTGCCAATGACTTTGGTGCAGCTTGGACTTCTTCCTTCAATACCGTTGGTTCTTGATCAGATGCTGTCTCTTTAAATGATTGAACGCCTAACAATTCCTTTGATACAGTGAATTTCTGTCTTCCATCTTCTTTTGATGTTTCCTGTGTCGGTCAATCTTTTGCTCATAGAATCCTCCAATATTGAAATCTGAAGCTTTAATTTTGTCTTCAGTTCTTTCAGCTTAATAAATGCTGACTGTGTTCTTTCTTTTTGGTTTTCTAATGCCAGGTCTTTGCACATTTCATCATAATATTTTACCTTGTCTTCTTGAGCTACCCTTTGAAATTTTCTGTTCAGTTCTTTTACCTCCTCAATTTCTTCCAGCTGCTTTAGCTTCTCTACATTCAAGAGCAAATTTCAGAGTCTCTTCTGATACCCTTTTTGATCTTCTTTCTTTCCTGTCTTTTTAATGACCCTTTGCTTTCTTCCTGTGGGATACTCTTGATGTCATCCCACAACTCTTTTGGTCTTTGATCGTTATTGCCCATTATTGAGATGGTCTCTAAATTCAGGTGGGACATATGTTGGCTTTCACAGACTTGTTTTAATTTTCTTCAGCTTTCAGCCTGAACTTGTATATGAGCAATTGGTGGTCTGTTCTACAGTCTCAACCACTGGCCTTGTTTTGGCTAATGGTCTTGCAAAATTCTATCATTCAATCTCCAGCATCGTTTCTATCACCAAGAACATATATTCTAATTATTGATGCTTCCTCTTTGTTTCCAAATTTCACATTCTCATCACCAGTAATTATCAATGCATCTTGATTGCATGCTTGATCAATTTCAGACAGAAGAAGTTGGTAGAATTCTTCAGTTTCCATCATCTGTGGCTTTTGTGATTGGTGAGTAAATTTTAATAATTGTGGTATTAAGAGGTCTCCTTGTAGGCTATGGATGTTATCTTATCATAAACAGCATTGCATTTCAAGACAGGTCTTGAAACGTTCTTTTTGACTATGAATGTGACACCATTCCTCTTCAATTTGTCATTCTTAGTATAGTAAAATATATGATTATCTGATTTAAAATGGCCAAT